GCAGTTGGAGTATGTTTCCCTGTTAGAAAGTAATAAATATGAATCCCTTGAAGTTGCTTTTTTAGAACAAAGCAGAACTGAATTTTTGTTTGTCTGATACTGCTGCTTGGCGCTAGCTGTTATTACGTTATCAGATAGTGTTTGTTCTTAATGGTGATGATGGCTGTTGTGCGTCAGAGAGGTTCGTGGTCACAGAACTAATATCCTGTCTGTGAGTGTCAGGTGCACAAAACAGAGTACAGGAAACCTTGTGCTAAGCAGTACAGGGGTTTGCCTCTTGGGAACTCTTCCTGCTGTGTAGCAGGAAAAAAGAGGTTAAACTGCAGACAGATGAGATCACTGCTTTTGAATCCTCCTACAAAATCATGTTTTTCAGGTAACACCCTGTCATTTTGTGATTTGTACCCTCTTGATTCTGGGGTTTACTTGTAGCTCAGATTTCCTTAGGCAAATTTTCTATGTTGTTTAGAAGACTTGTAGGCTATGGCATGCCTTTACTTCTAGCAGAATGACGGATTTCTGTTGAAGAAGAATTTCCAGATTCCTCTGTCGTTTTATCTGTGGTATCTCACTTCCCTAAGCATATCAGTGCAAAGCTCATTGCAAATAGTCCTGCCTGCAGCAGCAGGATTACAAATGCATTCCTGATGTGAAAAGTGTGGTGGGCTCCTTTTTTTTTTTTTTTTGTCGTCTTTTTCTTTATTTGTTTTATTTTAGTAGCATCTTGCCTGCTAGGATCTTCAAGTGCTTTTAATGTTTCTGTCAAACTCAGTCTCCTTGTTCCTTGTTGCTTTTATTTAAACAAAGGGAAAACTGAAGCTGCATGAATGGAGTTTTGGCTGTGTTTGGAGACGGCGGAGTGCTTAGTCAGATGCCTGTGGTCCTAGTCTGTCAGAAATGCAGAGCACCTGTATATCTAGTTGATAGGACAGCCCTGGGTTCTGAGAAACACTGAGAAACCCATATTTAAGGGTTTAAATATACGTTAGGTCTCTGAAGCCAAAAACATTGGCTGGGGTGACATCCCCATCACCTCATAGTGAATCTTTGTGTGCCAAGATTAGAACTAACAGCAGTGCTGGAGCCTCAAGCTGAAATCCATCCTGTAATGTGTTTTGTTAAATTGCCTCCCTTCATCCCAGCTTGCACCTTCCGCTTTCTTGAAATGGTCGCTCTCCTTATGCAGGGCTAGGACTTCTCAGGTCAAGGGCAGAGTAAGGAGTCTAGCCATGGCTGCGGCTTAATCCTTTAAATGCCAGATCCGTACCCACTGCCTGGTGTGGTTTGCCTCCAGACAGCAGCTGACAGATCACACCCTCTTCAATCTGCCCTGAGATGTGGGAGCTGTGGTGGGGTCCTGACTCCTACCCTGATAAATCTCCTCCATTAATAGCTATCAAAGAGCCTGAAGTTTCCATCTGAACTTTATCTGGCTTTGCAATGAACTGGAGGATTAAAGACTGTTGCAGGGGGAAGGGAGGGAGCAGCCTGGCTCACCCGGAATAGCCTGACCTATGACGGCACTTGCCCAGCCTGGGGAGGGGAGTTGTCCTGTGAGCTCATGGGTTATTAGCAGACTGAATGGACGTGCCTGCAGTCAACAGCACACTCAGGGCCATCTGTTCCATCCCCATGTGGTTTTGGGGGGTCTGGAGGAGCCTGTTAGTACAGTGTTGCCTGTATGGGAACAAGGAGCAGGTTTGAAGGCCAGCCTTGTGGAGCTGTGACTTTAAACTGCTCAAATGACTTTTGGATTTGATCTATGGGCTGGTTCCATGGGGCAGATCTCTGTGTTTCAGGTAGAGCTGTAAGCAAAGATAATCCCTGTCAAGCTGCGGTGTGGAACAGTGGTCTCTCCACTGTGCCATGGCAAGGAATGAGGGGGATCAGAGTGGACTGTATGTCAAAGACTTGCATTTGGGTCCGGGGGAGGAGGGGAGGGACGCAAGCTCTCATATAGGAGATGAAGAAAAAGGGAGTAAGTCAGCATTTCTCCGTCTTGCTCTTTCTCTTGTTGTGTATTTTGTTTTCCTTGCCTTGTTTTTCTGCTTGTGTCCCCTAACTTTGCTGTTTTACCTGCCCCATCTCTCCAGAGGAGGAAATGTGCAGGAGGAAAAGTGTGTGGTTTTTTTTTTTTTTTTTAATCAGTTCCTTCCCACCTTATTGAGGTCCTCAGCTGAGTGTAGCTGTTCCTGCAGAAGCTTTTCTCCTAGAGCTAGGCAGTGAAGTAGAGCTCTTGGGAATGCTGAGTGTTTTGCAGGACTTGTACAGGGCCCCTCAGCACAGTGGAATAACATCTTTCCAGCTGGCTAGATGAGACCGGACTCGGTCTGTTTGTCCCCACTAGAAGTTGTGGAACTGCAGATCAGCTTCCTGGCCACATGGGAAGCAGGAGTGCAGTCCATCCCAGTGAACAGTCTGTGGACACTGATCAGTGTTTTATGCTCAGAAGCCCTGAGTCTGTTCTAAACCTTTGACCCCTAGCAACATACACTGGATTCCTTTGAGTTAAATGGTCTCCTTTCCTTCCCTCCAGGCCTCAAAGCATCATGTTGTCTCCTGATTAGCCAGACAGATGTATTAACCCATGAAAAGCTCCTTTTTATCTGCAGCAATTCCATTGATTTTCATTTTTTGGAATTTGCAGCTTGCATACTTGCTGAGTATCGCTAATGGGTGCTTCTCTGGCGTGATGGTTGTCTTTGTGCCTGACGTAGAAAAGCCACCCACTAGGTGGGAAATCCTTGCTCCATAGGTCTAGTAGCCCAGGGGAGTATGGTTGAACGGATGCCACTGAAAGGTCAGATTTTCTGGAAGTGGTTCACCTACCTCCGAAGAAAGATGAAGTTGGGCTGAATCCTTTTCACCTCTTGGAATGGTAGAGAAATGTGTAGTCTCATCAACAGCAGCAGGCACTTTCCTTCGCTGGAGCAGAGGCACTACTGCCTATTGTACAGGGCTTTACCTGTCCAACCAGTGTTGCTTTTCTTCTGCTTTCCAATGAGCTTCTGTGTGCCAGGAGTTGAAGAGAAAGAAGGAAACATTCATGCTGCTGTGTAACTTGCTTACCAAGCACATGAGGGACAACTTTGTATCTAAATGTTTATTGCTATCACTTGAATTGTAGAGAGTTGTGCTTCTAATTTTGGAGGTTTTAGGATCAGTCCTTGATCATGAGCAGGGTGGCGATCATCTTTGTGTCAGGGTTTTTTTCCTCCCCCTTTTGCTGATCTTGAAAACCTCAAAGGTTCCAGGAAGGGAAGGAAGGCTGTTGAATCACTCCATTTCATTCTCCTTCTGTGCCATCCTAGACACCCACTCCCAGCCTGAATCCTGAATAAGGGGACTCATGAGCCAGGTGCTAAATGTCTGCACTGATTTATCGTGCCTAGCTCTAGGGTGAGTTATTGCAGCCAGGGATGACCCAGGGAATGTGTTTGCTTACATGGGGGAGAAGGGAATTCAGATTGGCCACATAGGCATAGCACAAATGTCCTCAGCTCTGGTCAGGTAATAAAATGATTGGGGCAACAGGTGAATGACTTCCTGTTGCATGGACCTGCCCAATGCCCTTTGAGGGACCAAAACCACCAAAAACTGATTCTTGCCCTGCAGGGGGAAAAATCCTCCTTACATCCTCTGAAGAGATCAACGTGTGGCAATGGAGTTGGCATAAGCTGGTTTGGGTGGCTGTCGTGGCTGCCTGGTAGTCCCTTGGAGTAGCTGGTCGGGAGACAGTTACTAGCGGCCGCCTTGTAGATCTGATGGTGATAACTTGCAGCAGCTTCTCCACCTTGGTAGCCCTCTCACTAAGGGGGACAGAGCATGATAGTTGAGACATCTGTGGATAAAGGCCTGCTGGTGAAAGAGACATTCGTTTTCCGGTGCTGTCTGCCCCTCTGGCAGCTATGTGCTTCCTTTTCAAGGTTTTCCCTCAGCACCCTTTTTAGCCCCCTCTAGCTCTTCAGAAACTCTTGTAAGTAAGGGCTGAGTGGGTTTTTCTATATTTTTACTGGCCCTGGGAGACGAGGCTTTATTTTGGGCATGGTCAGCTTTTATTTTCGCTTAACAAAGATGTTGTTCATCAAGTATAACCAGCTACAGTTTGCATCCTTGTGTCTCTGCTGCTAGAGTTGCTTGGGACACAGCAAATAACTGCTGCCCTCCTCTGCAGCTGTAGCTTGCCTGACTCTCTTATGATGGACCTGCCTTCCTGCCCAGAAAATGAAGGGCTTTGTTCAAAGCCCTTGAGCTGCCCACTTAGCTGTACAGAGAGATCATTTAAAGAGAACTGTGATAAGGGAAGTAGCCTGATAAGGTTTTTATGTAGGCTGTAGGGAGCTGTGCTGTGCAAAGAGGTTGCGAGAGGATCAAGGCTGGCTGCTGACGCTCCCAAATGTGACACCCGGAGTGGGATAGACTCATGGCATAAGATCCTAAATGGCTCTCAACAGCCAGCTTGTGCCAAGCCTGTGCAGAGTGAGGAAAGGAAGAAAGACGGTGGAACTTTCCCTGCTCCAGCCACCTTCTCTTTCTTAAGAAATCACTGAATGACTCTCCATGTTTGAGACTGCCCAGTCCAGCTGCTCCAAGACCAAAAAAAAAAAAAAATCCTATCAGGAGCAGAGTCTAGTGTTAAATCTGGATGAGCGTAATGACACAACAAAAAGCATTAAGGATGTGGTTTGTTTTTTTGTTAGTCCAAGAGATAAACAACTGGCTCACTATTGCCTTACTCACAGGAAGCATTAGGCCAGTAAAGGGCAAATATGGGTTATGCTCTTCTGTACAGCGAAGTATAACAGGTCTGAGTTCATCCTGACTCATTGCTGAGCCCTTTTTCCAAACTGTGACTGGGTGGAGAAATATTCCGAGTTTAAGAGTAAGGGAGACTTTAACCTTCCTTCTTTCTACCTCATGAGCAAAAAGTTGCAACTTTTCATAGCTTCATTTCTGCTTTGTAATGCCTGGTTTTTTTGAAGTCTCCTCTCTTTCTGCAGGTCCTTCAGAAGCTTGGGAAAGCAGATGAAACAAAAGATGAACAGTTTGAACAGTGTGTGCAGAACTTCAACAAGCAGCTGGTAAGATAATTGGAGATATGTAGTTACACACTGTTGCAGTATTAGTTTCCAGTTTTTTGCTGAAATATGCAATTAAAAACCCATTAAATTACATGAGGCCATAATCACATAGAAGTGACCTACTACTCTTAAATCACTTAGGTTCACTTGTTTCAGCATCCCTCTCACAGAGTGAGTGAAGAGTGTATGTTAGAAAATAACACTTATTCTAAATCTAAGTTTAGGAAAAGAAATATTTCAACCAGAACCCTGTCTTCAGTTTGAACAGCTGCTTTATGTGAGTTTGTCCTCCTGGGCTGGAAGTGCGGACATAAGAGCAACTTGTGTCTCTGAAAGATGGCTAGGAGAGGAAAGTGATTAGAAATGGAAAATAAAATGGAGTGGGGCAGATTCACTTTCCTAAGTACCATGAAAGGCAAAAGAGAAACAAAGCAAATGCTGAAAAGGGAAACATACTTCCAGGGCTGATCAAACTCTAAAATTAACTTCCTCTTCCATCCTGCCACAACTGCAGTGTCAAGCCTGAGTCATTACACTTTTTTTGTGTGTGTGCTTCATGCCTATATTTTGGTGCGCACAAGTATTCTTAGTGTAGCCTATATATATATATTTTTTTCTCCTTGCTTAAACAGGGGTAGGATTATATTTTGAACTGGATGTGTTCTGTACCTTAAACTTTCAGCCACTGATATGAGGGGAAAACTTTACTTACCTCAGGGGATTTTCAGGGCTGGATGTGGCTACAATGGTGCTAGGGGAAGTTTTGCTTGTCTTTTCCCTGTCAGGGAGTGCAGGCCCCACCAAAACTCAAGCTGTGCTGGGGTGGGAAAGGCGGGGAAAAGAAATCCTTCAGACCCTTTGTACCCTGACATGTTTAGGGCCTTTTTCCTGGAGCTGTTAATGGCAGCTGCTTCTCATCTGTGAAGAGTCAGTAGATGTGGTTCTGTTGTGTCCCAAAAACAGCTGAGAAGGGATTTGCCACAGCTGCATATGATGAAAATACTTCAGCCAAACTTTGAGATATGACTAACCAGAGCTGACTACAGATTTCTGGCGAGTAATGCTCATTCTCTTGGCAGTAGTAGTAGCTGTTGTTTCAGAAGTGCATGCAATGTCTCAATAGCATTTCTACCAATGAAGTCCTATTGTACATGGAGGAGTACAGTTGGCTTCTTTCTGGAGACGTGACATTACCAGGTGTGTCTTTTCTATATCATTGTGCAGACTAAGTATCAGCAATCAGGAAATGGGCAGCCATTTTAAGAGCAAAACCTGAAAAAACTCAAACCTCTTGATCTGGGTTTCAGGGATGGTTTTTTTTTCAGTCTCAAAAGCTATGAGGTCCATGGTGCATTGAGAAGCCTAGTAAAGAAGCACTGCCTCTGTACCCCACTACAGCTGAATTTCTGTTTGTATCTTGCAGGGTTGTCCATGAACTAAAATCTCCAAGTAACTTACCAAAGGAGTCAGAGGCTGCTGTGCATGTGATCTGTTGGTTTTGCTTTGGCCCTCAGTTTCCCTATTACTAAAATAAATTTAAACAATATCTGTTACACAGGGCAGGTTATAAGTGTGAGTTGGTTGGACTGTTAAAATGTCCAGGGCTGTGAAGTTGTTATGCTAAACAGGCTTGGAAAGGAATTTGGGCTGTATATATGTGTATACACACAAACACAGTCTGTGTGTGTGTGTATGTGTGTACGTATATATGTATATAACGTGAGTGCAGTCTAGCTGTGTGAGAGATTTCTGTGGCCTTTCTTTACCAAGTGTGCCCTAGTTGGAAACATGAGTCTGGAGGAAAGCTGATCTTTTTCCACAGACTTCTTACACGGTAGTTGTTCTCTGGAATTGGCTGGGGTGTGACCAGAGGGCTATTGCAACAGGAGAGGAGCTTTGAAAAGTGTCCCAGTGGCACTGGCTTTGTTTGCTCAGTCAATTAGCATCTCCTCTGACTCTAATGACTGTGTTGGGCCACTTTGACGAATGTTTCCATGTGTGGGCTGTTGGCAAATGGAGGGCAGGCCTAAAAATGGTTCCTTCATCTTCAACCAAGGCATCCTGTGGTTCTCCCAAATGGTGATTGAGTGGACGTGAGGGAAGGCATTGCACTTTCCAGATCTTTGTTCATTAAGGTGGTTATGAGAGCACCAGTCTGAGGTTTCTGAATGGTAGGAGTGTTTTAGCTCAGGACAGTTTTAGCTCAGCTCAGTTACATCCAGTTCATGTGTCGCATAGTAGCCATGTTTCTGCATGGCTCCCCTATGAGTCTCGAAGGCTTGACAAGCAGCACAACTGGCCCATGTGCCCCTCCCTCATGACAAGCTATCTTTGGCTTATTAACCACGAAACAAGCTCCTTGGAAGGCTTCCCCTCTCCTTCCCTTCCTGCCGTGTCACGTGTTCAGCCACCAGCACAAGGGTCTGTCCTGGAAACTCCTCACAAAACTGAGGGCAGGAGGCCTGCTGCAAAGGTGCAGGGCAGCCCCTGCCCAAGATGCATCAGGTTTCAGTTTCTGTTTCCCTGTATTTGAAATATCCTTCACTGGGGAGAGTAGGAGGCTGGTGGCAGCCCTTACAGCTAGTACCACTTTGTCTTTCTGCCTGGCAGAGCTGTTGAGTTTTGATACACTCAGGAGCTGTCACTCATGTGGAAGTACTGGGTTGGTTTACACTGTTTCACACCAAGCGTGTGAGAGACAAGCTGCTGCTGGTGCGAGCTGCATCCTCTGCTCATCTTCCAGTGTTTGGCACAACCTTGGCCTGTACGTTAGGCAGCGTAGCTCTGAATGCCCCTCCTGAGTTGTGGGTTTAATCTTTGCTCTTGGAGTGTAGATTTAGACTGATAAAGCCTTTTTTGTGGGCAAAGAGGAAACATGGGTTATATGTAAGTAAAGCCAAAAATTTATTGTTAGTATGATAACAATTTTAAGAGCCAAACCTCTGTTTGCCCAGGTCTCATTGTTACAGAAAAAGAAGGAATAACAATGCAGTTGAAATTCTTACACATCCACATTTCTAAGTTTCTACCCCTTTTCCTGGTATCACACTCGCCCTTCCTCTGCTTTGCTGGGCCCTAACATTGGGGGTTTCATTGCGACTGGTAGGAATATTGCAGTGAGTTGTCATCTGGAGTCCTCTGCTGGGAGGAATGTGATGTTCATGTTGATGGTTTCTTCTTGCTCTCTCTTGGATCCACTGGGAGTCGTTTTTACATGTTTGCTAACACTCCTTTACACCTTTCTTCTTTGGTCTACAGCTCCACGTAATATCCAAATTTGCTATATATGGTGCCCTGTACATATGTTAGATACTATTTCTTTGTTCTCTTTGCTACCCCTAAAACCAGTTTTGTCCAGCTCCAGGTCTGCTTTTTTTAGCTGACCATCGGTGAGCTGCTCATAGCTGTAGGATTTCTAGCATCAGGCCTGTGCCTCATCTATTAATCATTTCGCCTTTATGCTGCATCCTGTGTTTCCGCTTCTCAAGGCCTCTTCTATCATACCAGGCCTGTATTTTCCTACACTACATCATTGTGTTAGTCATAAATAACTCAATCCACACAGAATAACTGTTACTGTTATCTGTGTAAAACTTATGATTTATACCACACAAAGATGAACAAAAGTAAAACAAATTAGCCTTAGATGCCTAGTCAATTAGAAAAATTGCTATCACAGCTGAGGCAAGTAAAAGCTACAGCTCAAAAGTTCAGGCAGCGCAAGCCTGACGCATCTCAGTCCTGAGGCCTTGCAAATTCAGTACGAAGTTTGTGCATTACTGAGAGTAGCAATACTGTATGACAGGGCTAGAGGACCATTGTGGTTACAGGATCTCCTGTGCAATGCCTGAAACCGCTAATTACGTGAAAGGAGGGGTCAAGACCCGTGTTCTCTAGTACGACAGGATGGGTGCTTCTCATCAGTAGTTCAGGCTTTGTGTCGTAACAGCTCTGAAGTGTTTGCTAGGTGGGGGCTAGTCTGGAGCTGTTGTTTCACTTCATTTTTTTTCTTTCTTTTTTTTCCTTTATAATCCCACACCTTGCTCTTCCATCCCAACATTCATCTAATCTGGAGCAAGGCGTTCCCTGCACCTCTCAGGTGTGGAACATCTCTGCTGATAAAAATACCTCCCATCCTAACTGCAAAACCAGCAAGGACATGTAAGGAAGGGGTTACAGTCTAATGTTAGAGCGAAAGCAGGTGAAAGCCTCTCTTTTTAAAGAGGAGTGGAGGAAGGTTATATAAAACCTGTTTGCTATCAAGATACCGCTCTTTACTAGAAAGCATGTGTTTAGCTAGTGTTTGTATTTACAATACAAGGTATTGTAAATAATAATATAAGGTGTTGTAAACAATAATAAATCAAAACGGAAAAAAAAAAACCAAACAAATGAACCTCACATCTTTCTTTTTCAGCACAGTAAGTAGTAGGTGATTCATTAGGACTTTGGAGAGAGAACTCTTTCCTCTTTGTTTACGTGTTTGCAATTTAATAATTACTGTGCCATGCGATTTTCTTTCTGAACATCTTTAGGTTCAGTCATACATCTTTGATTTCCCTCTACGCTCCCTCAAACCTCCTGCTCTCTGATAACTAGGAAGAGGATTCGTTTCTCAGATTCCAGTTTCACTGTCTTCCCTTCCTTTTTACCTCTTAGTTTGGGAAGCATCTTCTAAATGCACGCTCAAGTTGTGAGTTTCTGTTCTGCATAGTACGAGCCAGTGTCTGTCTGCTGCTTGAGAGGTGTTTGTGCAAAATACTTGACAACTCCCTATCGACTGTAGAGAGCAAGTGACACATGCACAGAGAAAGTAGTTGTCAAAGTTTTTTGGGAAAGCATTAATGCTAAAAATACTAATAAAAAGAAACCCTTGCAGCAGGTGAGAGCGCTGCTCCACTGATAGGCAAAGAATAAAACAAGGGAAATGCCAAAGAGGGAGCTGGATAGGAACCTCAGATGCAAACCACCCAGGTGTCTAGGAGAGCTGGGGGAACAGGGTTCATGGCCAAACTGAAAAGTGGTCCTCTCTTTGGAAGTCTTTCTGCCTGCAGACCTCACAGGCTGCAAAGTCTATTCAGACTCCTAGGCAGGCTAGGTACCTTTAAAAGGTTCAGGTAACTGTACGAAGTAACCAGGTGAACGAGAGTGGTTGGAGGGGGTTACACTTCTAGCCCGTTCGCTGTAGATAATGCATTCCTCTGTGGGAAGCAAAGGCCTATTGGACTATATTTCTGCCTCAAACATAATTTTTGTTCAGCTTATTCCAATTTGGTTTAATTAGAACAAACTATTCTTGTGTCCCTGTAATGACTTCTTGGTCACTGCATTGTTTTGGGCGGTTTGGAGGGGAGTGAAGAGGTTTTCCTTTACTGAGAAATGCTCGACTCCTCCCCCTCATGCCCTTTTTGTATGGGAGAATAACTAATAGTTTTTTTTCTTATCTTCACAGTCAGAAGGCACAAGGCTGCAGAAGGATCTCCGAACTTACTTGGCTTCTGTAAAAGGTAAGGTCTGCATAAACAGAGAGTTTTCCCTCTCTAGTGCCTACATATGCACTGAGGTTTTCTGTAGCCATGCATTTCCTGGTGTTCCCTACCTCAGGGATGAGTTTTAGGAACGATTGGCCTCGTCTTGGCAGGGGATCTCAGAATTCTTTGGGACCAGGTGGGATGGGGTTGTGCTTTCGTGCCAAAAGTGGTGGTGCCACCTTAGCAGAAAAACTCCCAATTCCTCAGCCAATGGAGGATGAGCATGGACAATTTGATGTGACTACGTTCCTGGGTTCCTTTCTCCCTCTGGTTACCATCTATCTCTTTGTCTTCATCAGGCATTCAGTAGAGAATAGCTTAGCATTTGTTTTAACCCATTCAAACACCTCTGAGTCCCCATCCCTCAGTATGAGGGATAAAATGGGAGGAACACGCTAATCCTCAGTTTCTGAGGTGGTCCCCTGTTCTTTCCTAGCCATGCACGAGGCCTCCAAGAAGCTGACGGAGTGTTTGCAGGAAGTTTATGAGCCGGATTGGCCTGGGAGAGATGACACGAATAAAATAGCAGAGGTAAGACTCTGTCCAGGATTTGGGGTCCCTAGGCTTGGCCTCTCAGAAGACATGAGCTTTGGAAGCTCTGTGAGCTGTGTTCCTTCAGGCATGTAGCTTTGCAGTAAGAATCTTGCCAAGCTGAGTGTTGGGAGGAAGGGAATGCTGAAGGGAGGTGGCCCATGCCTTCATCCATATTTATGAAGGCAAAAATGGGATGCAGTGTTCCCAGATGCTTGAATGCTAGAGAGCGCCCTGTGCTTATGCCTGGAAGCAGTTTTGTTGCCCCAGCAGTGGCTAAACAGAGACAGCAGATGCCAAAAGAGGGTTAAGAGGGTCAGCTGAATGTATGGTTTACACTCTGTGCAAAAGAAGGCACTGTGATATGTCTGTGGGGGTCATGGTCCTTGAAGGAAGAAATGGTTCTGGCCTTGGGCTCTGTTTTTGTCATAGGCAGTACCCACTAATCTTTCCTGATTAATTTCTAAAATGGGTTTTGTAGGCCTTGTTCCATGGGCTCTTCCTAAGCCTTGAAAGAAGATCTGTCTCTTTAAATAATCCTCCATTGCTTCAAGCCTCAGTCTATCTTTGACTCCTCCAGGTCTCCATTATCCCTTTTTCTATGTCCCTCACCTCCTAATTGCCATGGTGGTATTTACATCAAAGTATAAATCTAGAATTGTGTGTCTTGTATCAGCACTTTGTGCTGTGTCTGTGTGGGTGCAAGCTCTGCCAATGGCAAGGCAGATCTTCAGGCCCCCTTCCTACAAGTAAGAGGAAAAGACCTGTGCTCTGTAGGGCCTCACTGAGCCCATGGGTATCAAAAGATCAGCCTCTCTGCCCACACAAGGGAAACGGAGGGAATTGAATCAGGGAACCTAAATCTGTGCCCAAAGCATTGCCAGAGCAGCCATTATATAGCTGCAACAACCTCCCTCTCACAGTAGCACCAGCAGCTGATATATATTAGTTGCTACCTTGTTTGGCTGAGCCATGTGTCACTGGAACCCGCTGTTCTCCTCCTCCCTTGGTGAGGTGATGCCTGTCAAAATTGCCCAGCTGTTTTCTGTGGAGCTTGGGGCACAGCCTGTCATTCGGCAGCTTGGTTCCTCCTTGGCATGTGTGTGGTAGGTCCAGCTGGAGGCAGGCACCCTCAGATCTCTGGTTGAGCTGGTCTCCTGAGCAGCAGCTGTGATAGTTTAGCTCCACCTACCTTGAGGCTGCAAGATGGGGCCGCAGCAGTTTTTAGTGTTAGAGCAGTGGGGAAGTAGTAGGGAGGGAGGCAGGAGGAAGATTGTTCGCTTCCTGCAGTTTCCCCTGCAGAAAACCTCACCTGAAGTAATATCTGCATTTTTACCCAGGAAATACTGACTTCAAAGCAGATAAAGCAAATGAAACCTGAACGTTTCTAGGTCAATTCTTGTATTAACGTGGAAACTTTCCATTAGGAAGTGTTGTTGCAGTGAATGCTGTAGTTCAGCTGATTTGGCTTCACATTTTTTTGTTAGGCCTTGTTTCTTCCTAAGCCACTGAGGTGCCTCCTGGGAGACTGTCCCTTCAGAGAATTTGAATCAGAAAGCTCAAAGGGAGCATGAGGCCTGAGAACTAACTGTAGCTGTTCTGAGGGTCTACAGGAGCTTTTCCAGTCCCTCTTCCCCTTTTAATGCCTTTATTTGTTTGTTTCCCTCTTTCAGGGCAAGACAAGCAGGAGAAACGTGCTATTCCTGCTAAAAAAAAAATTTCCCCCTATAAAGCTGACGTTTTTCCTTAATACTTTAACCAAAACTGTTTGTTCAAGCAGGAAAAGTAGAAGGGAGGGACAATTTCCACATAGTGCAAGGTGTTGATGGAAACTTAGCATGGCTAAAATGAGACCAAGGATAAATTGTGCTCAGGTTGGGGTGTAAGCCTTGAATGTGACCTCTTGAGGCAGGTGGAGTGAGGGCTGAAGATCATTGGCACAGCTTTCTCTCATTGTTTATCCTTCAGAAAGGTATGTTGTAGTGAAAAGCAGAAAATGGTGCTCAGTGGTGTCAAGTGGCTGAGGCTGCTGGAGGCAAGAGACTGAGAGAAGGAGATAAAGCCAGCCTAACCTTCATTTTTACCTTCTATTGTATGGATTTAGGCTAGCACTGTAGGTGAAAAGAGAGATTCTCAAAGGTTCATGAAGGGTACTGTGTCCTTGTAGAGGCTGCCTGAATTAGCTGCATCAAGCCTTCTCTGTTTCTACGTTTTTGGCATGAGCTATGTTTTCAAGTAGTTTCTCTGTTCCTTATTTTTTCTAAACAAATAACTATTTTTCAAGAGCCCTGGAGAACAGAATTGTTGATTGTAGCACTCATTGAGACAAACAGAAATGCAAAGCTCTGTGTTCTTCTCACCATTAGTTAGCTCACTGCTTTTGTTTTTCAGAACAATGACCTCCTCTGGACGGATTTCCATCAGAAGCTGGTGGATCAGGCACTTCTGACCATGGATACGTACCTTGGCCAATTCCCAGACATTAAAGTAAGATTCTCTTTGTACCTTTTGATCTAGAGTGTTATAGCAGATGAGACTTCATAAGAATCTGTTTCTGGCATCTCCATCATCTTTTGCATGATGTGTGTGGGGAAGTGCACTATGATGTAAGAGATGTGCCTGTGGATTAATGCTTGTCTGGGTTGGGGAGGTTTCATAGGTGGTTCTGTGGACTTCTTTGCTCTTCAGCAGTCAGAAGGTAAGGAGCTGTGAAGTGTGGTAGAGAGGGAACCTCATCTTGTGCTCTTGAGAACTGATCATCTGGGACTGCCCTGCCATCACAGGTGACTGTAGTTCAGGGTTCCCTTTTCTTGCTGGGAGAAAAGGCTCCCTGGGGGAGTGAGCCTTCCTCTGTTGGCGAGGACTTCCTCTGTAGGTCCTCATGGACGCAGCGTGTTTGGTACAGCAGTGGCATACGCAAAACTGACATCACAAAAGGAGCAAATGGAAAGAAGCAGAGCTTCTGACGTTACTGAAATGTATGAACAATCTTTCTCTATGCCTTTCCAAAGCCAAAGAGGTTTGGACCTATTTGACTCTGCCCTGGAGCAGAGGAGGAGTGCCCATGCAGTGTCTCTGCTGGTAATAGACAGCTGAGAAGTAGTAGGTTCTGTTCCCTATGGTCTCTTGCACGTGACCTCCCAGATGAGATTTAGAGCCTGAATGTGTGCGCTAATTAAGACATGGTAATAGCAGGGCAGGAGGTTTTCCGGGCCAAAGTTGACGAGCTCGCCATACCTGGCTTCTACAGAGTCACTATCAGCAGGACCACAAGCATTGTGAAGGTAGCATGTATGCATGTTGTACGAGCACCTGCAGAGACTCTGTCACGTGTCACTTGCAGCAGTTCTTGATCGTGTTTAGTGAACACCTCTTTTACAAACGGTGGCTGTGCTGTTGCGAGCTCTCCTTTTACAGCAGCTAAGATCTTTGTAGCTCTGGGTCCTATGCAAAGATTATGTTGTTTTCTTTGGGCTTATAAATGAAGAAGCCAGGGGAAAGAGGCTAGAGAGATAACATAACTGCAAAACAAGAGGCTGCATAAAAATTGCTCTTGTGCAGGAGGGTAGTGTCAGCAACAACTCAAACACCCAGAGCCTCTCTTTTCAGTCCTTTGATGCTGTGACTTCCCTATAAGCACAAAGCAGCAAGAAAGCAGTTAGTGACAAATGTGCTTTAATAGGTATAGCCTGGTGTGGAAAGGAGATTTGTGTATTTCCTAAAGCTCTGCTTTGCCTGTTGCCAGTCCTTTGAAGGAAGGGGGACAATGTTATATAGGGTTTTTGGGGAAGTCCGATGTTCACCAGCCTGGAGGATCTGAATGATGTCTTGTGAACTTCCCTTCCCTCACTGTAATCTCTTCTCTGTTCGTTTTGAGAAGATTATGCAGGAAATGTCTTCGCCCTATGGCAGCGCTAGTAATGATATCACCATATGGGAAGTATCAGTGTGGCTTCTTCCCAGTGAAAACAACCCTTTTCCCACCACGTCTCTTAAAGTTTGTTGCTTCAGGAGGATCATGCTGTACCAACGTGGGGCAGGTTACAGGCTTGTAAAACCACCACTGAAGAGCAGTGCCCTTGCCTGCTGAGGCTCCTTGGTTTTGCCTCAATTTCCAGCCTTTTCTGTCCCTGGAAATATGAAGTGGGGAAGAAGGAAGAGATTTGCTGCCACTTTCCACCTACCTGAAGCTTTAATGCTGATCGGTCCCTGTAACGTGATCCAGTGCGCCTCAGTCGGCAGTGCGAAGGCTCTTGCACTGCTTCCATAGCAGATGGTTTTGTTTCAGGCTTCCTGCAGACTCCGACTTCTGCGCTGCTTCTGTCCAAAGCGTGCGTTACCAGCCTTCTTGGCTGTGCCCTAGCTCACCTCAGCATGCCACCTTTCTTCAGTATTTAACGTCTTTGGAATTTCTTAATTCTGCTGGGGTACTGCTGAGATTTTAGACTGGGATTTTCAAAGGAAGACTGGAGTGGGACCACCCAAATTCCACCGGGAAACTCAAGGGGTCAGGCATCAAACTAACAAAGATCCTTCCTGACTCCCAGATGGGAAGCTAAGGTGTTTATTACTCATGTCACTTTTTCCTAGCCTTCAGATTTGCTGTTAAAAATGGAAGTTAAAGCAGTTTTGTGCAGAATTTAAACTTTAAAGAGTGCTAGTCACCTCTGGCTCCCTTCTTCAGATGGATGAGATGTTAGCCGCCTTTTGGTACCTACAGTAACAAATGGATACGTTTTACAGATTTGGCCGTTTCTTTAAAAAGGACTTTCAGTGATGTGAATTTAAAAAGGTTAATATATTTTTTTCTGGAAAAGTCCTGTTCAGCTGGATGCATCATTACTGTTACTCCAGAGCACAGAGAAGTGGCTCAGATCAAATTTGGTATCTTTGACTGTTTAAAAACTATTATAAGAATTGTTGTTGCAAGATCCTGCAATTTTACAAAAGCATAGTCTGGTTTCATGTAAGGAATTAGAGTTCTTGAGAGTGACATGCAAAAGAGAAGTCATATATAATTTACAGAATATTTTGGTTTGTTTTCTGTTGTTGTCGTGGTAATAGTTTTCTGGTTTGTATTTTCCACAAAAGCAAATTTTTTGTTTTTCCTAGAATTCTGGCATTACTGTGATAATGAAAGCTGATTTATGGAGAGAAGATGATTTTAATTTAGTTACATAAAGACCTAGCTTTTGTTAACAGCCCAATAATTCAAATGTGTGATCAGTTAAATCATGCATGCATTACTTATTTGTTAAATACTAAAGTAAAAGTATTCCAAATCTTTCTTCACTTGAGGGGCTGGAAAAATTCCCTTGAATTTTCTGGACTTCCAACAGGACTTTTTTTGCAGCAGGACTGTGAAGACATGGTATTCTTTAAGCAAGGAAATTTTATAAGTTAAAGAATCCATTTGAAGTTTGGAGGGGAAAAAAGAGCACAAAACCACCTTTCTCCAACTCGGAAGGAAAGAAAAAGAAAACAAAAAACACTACCAGCTTCCTGGAGTAACAGTCTTGCATACTCTATCACTTAATATTCTAAGTGAGTATTTGATTGGAGTTGCAGGGTATGCAAGGAGCACAGTTGTCCAAAGGTTTCTGCGAGCCCAGAAAGGTGAACTGTAACACCAGTTCCAAACAGGTGTGGAATTTGGGGAATATCTGTCTCACAGTATACAGAAGGACTCGCAGTATATCCGTGCCTTGCAACACTTCTACACGCTCTAGAACAAAGGTGAGGCTTGTAGTTAGAAGATCAAAGACCTCGAGAAGGGGGCAGGAGTGACTGAAGATATTGTTGAGAGGCTGGTGACATGATATCAAACTCCTTGTGGGGTGGCAGGGGGAGCCTGGAGGTGGCTGTTTGCTACATCAGAGGTGGGCAAAACTCCTCTAAACCCCATCTCTCTCTGCCAGTCTGATCTGAGGGAAAAATTCCTTCCTTTAGAGCCCAAATCTGGCTATGTGTTTCATGTGGAATGTGTGGAAGATATATTAAGTGGCACTTCAGAGATTTTAATGTTGCTCGAAGCCCCTTCCTCTGTCCTCCTGGAAAACACTGCCAGTGGGATGCAGACAGGATAAACTGCCAAAATGGTCCCTCCCACTCTCAGGAGCCTGGAGGAGAATCCGACCCTACTAGTGTCGTCCGGGGAGGTGTCTTCTAGTGACCTTGGCTGAGGAATGGCTTGACTTCTTTGTGATTCCTCTCTTGGAGCAGAGTGCTTTGAAATCAGTTTGGGTGTGCGTGTGGCTGAGCTCGTGCAGATCTGCTGTGACTTGCACAGAGCTGCACCAACCAACATTTGCTGAAAGTGCAGAGCAGGTATGGGGAGGAGGGGAGCGTGTGAACTGGTCCTGGCTGGTCTGGCAAAAAGATCAGCCCTGAATGTGATTTGCAACTTATCTGCAGCATCCTAGAGACCAGACCACAACTCCCTACTGAGTGCAGTGGGGGGATTTTGGTTGTGTAAGTAGGTATCAGTGCTGATTCTTCCTCTTGCACTTTGGATTTCTCTGGGCAGTGTGAATAAATAAAAACTCTCCTGGCTTTTGCTGTGGCTTCCCACATAGCTTCTGCAGTCTGTTTGTAGCCTGCTGATCACTGTCATTGTACTAGGCTCTCTGAGCTGCAGTGGTGCTAGGGTTAGGGCGGGAAGACCTGAGCTCCAACCCAGATAGCTTTGTGTGTTTGTAGAGAGCTTTGTAGGGGCAAAGGAGTGTGAGGTGATTGGCTCTTAAAACAGAGCAGCCAAATGGTCCTGAGCCTCGCAGAGGTGAAACTCGAATGGGTGAGAAAGCAAGAGGCACCGCTGACTAACAGGGATGTCTCAGAGTAACCCAGGCCATAGACCTGACTCTTCCTCTACTCTGGTTTCTCAGTCATGGACTTGTCAGGGCTCTTGCCCTGCATGTGAGTCTGATACACAGTTGACTCCCTCCTTTTGCTTGTCACAGCGTTGCTATATCTTGTATATTTGTGGTACAGTGCTACAGCTTCTCCCTTGCATTTCTGTTGTGCATTAGCTAGTTATAACGGACCGCTGGCTGCGACTGTGGTCACAACACCTGATACGCACTGTGTCTAAACTTCCTGTTGCAGGGTCTGAAATGCTGGCTCCTAGGCATATCCTGAGCATGTGGAAGGGGCTTAGGCTGTGCTGGCAACATGAGAAATGCCTTCTTGTGTTGACCTTCACAAGATTTTGGGCTACCAGGGGAACTTGGGCTTGAGAGCTGGTTAGCTAGAGGCTGACTGCAGCCCTCAGGAGGCTCTGGAAATGAAGAAGCAAGTGCCCGTAGAACCTGGGCACCTGGGGAGACTCAGTAAGCTACAGTTTGGAAAATGTTCATGTCATCCAGTGGTGGGACCTTTTGCTTGTTATATCCCTTTGATCTCCCTGGCTGAGTCTGTCCTCCTCCTGAGGAGCTCACTCCAGAGCAGTTGTTGGCCACAGGCAATTCCCAAGCCACCTCTCTGGACAGCCTATGTGAAGTATCTGGCAGTGCTACCTAGTGTTTCCTGGTGTAGACAGAGAATGGGATGCTTTAGAAGCTGGCTAGGTTAAGTGGAGTAGGGTTTTTGTGAGAGGCTTTGTGGTCCTGGCTGGTGGGGAAGATTGTCATGACTCTTTTCTCCGTTTCTCTTAGTCTCGTATAGCGAAGCGGGGAAGGAAGCTTGTGGATTACGACAGCGCCAGACACCATTTTGAAGCCCTGCAAACTGCAAAGAAGAAGGACGAAACCAAAATCGCAAAGGTAAAGCGAGCAGGAGGATTTGCGGCCATCCTTTTGGGAGGTCTGCTTTTGCCTACTGAGCAGGTTTAAAGTGCACATGTACCTTTTCACTGGGTATGTTTTGTTCAGAGAGGTGTTGTGCACTGTTGAGGTTTGGCTAGGTATTTTCTTCTCATCTTCTTAATGGAAGATCCTTCTAAAGGAAGGATGTTCTCTGGCGTCGTAGTTCAGACGTGCTATCGTCAGTAAGCATTGCTTGGTGTCCAAGGCCTAGGCATGCCTTTCCTCAGTGGCTGCAGGACCAGTAAGCTCTAGTGGAAAAGCACATGTGCCTCTGGGGGAAACAAAGCCTTGCAGTGCCACAGCAAAATTTGCCAGTTTGTCTGCTGTTCTGAGCTCTTTGTGTCCCCATGTTAGAGCAGTGGTGAGGGTAAGTATTTGAGTGTTGCAAGCATGAGCTTAGTGGTGTTTGCAAAGTCCTCTGGTGTCCTAGGATAAAGACTCTTAGTGCGTGAGTTGCAAGTTCATCAGTACAAATGCAGCCAGTGCACGCATGAAGCCTGTGTTATGTATTCTGTTGACCAGAATTACTGGAAGCTGAATATGCCCGAAAGCAAGAAGATAAGAGTTTTTTCTTGTCAGGGCATCTGCTCATTTCTTTAAGTCATTGCAGGAAGAAGGCCTTGGGTCTCTGTTAGAGCGAAGGCTTTAGGTAGAAAGGTTAACATATTTGATGTGCCTAAAGGCCTGGATGTTCAGGTTGGTGTTGCCTCTTATATATGATGAAGCTTGTTGAGAAGGCGGCTGATGTCCGGAGCTTTAAAAGGTTATAGATGCCTAAATCAGAATTTAGAGGCATTTAGGTGCCTTTAAATCCAAAACAATGGTCGTAAAACTCGCCTTAGTGGCTGGCTCCAGGTTATTTGACCTCACAGGCAGTAGCACTTGTTTAATCTGGAAATTCCCTTGAATATTTAGTTCATTGTTGTATACCTTCCAAGACAGCCCTGTCTGAGCAGGTACCCCCTGTCTCTCAACACCTTCTGGAAGACAGCAAAATACCACCAGTGTCCTAAGAACAGCTTTTTTCAGGTTTAGCCCCAAAGTATGCCTAGCATGCAGGTGCCGGATTTCATTTTTAATCAAATTTTAATACAATTTATATTTTCTATTTTAAGTATAGCTAAAGAGGAAAGGTGAGGGTGCCAATCTCCTTCTACAGGAGTCTCATGGTTAGAATACTTGCCCAGAAAACGGGCTGTGGTCTACTCCCTCAGCCTGAGGGGATTCAAACCCACGTGCCCCGCTCTACACAGACAGCTCTTGACACAACCTTGGGGAAACACCTTTTCGTTCCTCTTGAATGTGTACCATGGCACATCAGGATTCTCCAGGCCAGAGGAGAGTGGGAAAATAAGAGCTTTGAGTCTGTATCTTGTAACCAAGCTGAGAGAGAGGTTCTTGTTCTTTCCTTTACAGTTATTTCTGGTATGGGGAGATATGAGCGATAGTAGTGTTCCTCCTGTATGGAAGAAATAAGGACAATTCTCCCCCGCAGGCAAACGGACTACATTTAATGGTCAATTGGCAGTACTTTAAGCTGCTGGTCGTCACTCATCTGCTCATCAGTGCATGCACTGTGATTAACTCTGGCAAACAAAGGGAAGAAAGATTGATGGCTCAGGTGTCACCGCATCATTTGCAGAGCAAAGAAATTGCTAGTTCTGTATTCAAGGCATGAGGACCAGCCAGTTATGTCTTCTGTTGAAGGCAATGCTTCAGCTCGTTCAGGGATAAAAGCAGAATTTCCCTGAGGCATGGTGGTATTCTTGGTATGTGTGGGATCTTTGCCATGGTGGTAAAGCTCTTTGTAGAGATTCACCTACTCAAATTGATACGTGGTGATCTGCACCTCCTTTGTACTTGCTGGTGTTGACCAAAATCTCACATGATAAAATTGTTCTCTTTTTTTTTTTTTTTAAATGAGAGATGGTCTATTTTTCTCCTGTTGAAGTATGAAGAACAGCGTTTTGAAGATTGAAGTGTTGGTATATAAGAGACAGTGCTCTGTTACTGATTGAGCCTGTGCAAATGCCTTTTAGTACTTGATGGGACTCTTCTTATAGGCCAAAATGGGCAGTGAATCAGATGTTCCTCTCTCCGTGCTTTAGGCCATAAGCTCATGCACAGCATAATCTATGACAAGTCATTCTGTCCTGATCCTGTAAGGCTGGGAGCAGTGAGAGTCCCTCAAAGTGATGAATGCTCATCTCAAACAGGCACGTTTCATGACCCAGCCTCTTGATCTCACACTTGCAGTCACGCAGCCCTGTGGGGTTGCGGGCAGAAGCCAGAGCTCAGTGCGCGCTAGGCAAACGTAGCAAGTTTATCTCTCCATTCCTGTGACTAGTTTTGCTGATCTGACCTGTACAGTAGGGATGTTTCAGTGTAAGGCACTTTGAAATGTGATGACAGACCCCTAGGAAAGAGAAATCTTGTTTGTAATACAGCGTACAAATGGGAACCAACTTGAACGATGTCTCATGGTATTAGAGAAACACGAACAGCAATGTGAATACTTTTGGGAGCTATGTGATTTCTTCTTCTCCCCTCCTCTAATACATGGATGTTCTTTTCCCACCCGGGGCTCCTGCCACACATCACTAAACCTGCAACCTGCCATTAAAATAAAATACTGTGAACTTTCAGCTATTGCATGCAGATAATGAGTGTTTAATCCTGACCTTTCTTTAAGGGGCTGCCACTTCACAGCCGTGACTCGGAGTGGGGTTGTCTGTGTGCTAGGTCACTAACAACTTGTCTGTTGCTCTTTGCAGCTGGCCAGCTGGTCAACAGTATCCCAGCCCACACTGGAGCATTAATTACTGCTAAACTTGGCATGCTTCAAAGGATTCTTAACTGATCGGCACCAGGATGTTTGTATTTTCTCTCGCCTTGGTGATATTGGCCCAGCCTTTAAATACTCTGTGGTTTTAATTTTTTTTTTTTTAAATCCTAAAAAATGTTTGTCTGTCTTGTTCTCTATTTACTTTTTTTCTCTTTTCACTCAAACATGCTCCCTCCCCTCCCAGCCTGTTTCGCTGCTTGAGAAAGCTGCGCCTCAGTGGTGTCAAGGGAAGCTACAAGCTCACCTCGTTGCGCAAACTAATCTGCTCCGAAATCAGGTGACTGCTGATCTACCTGGCTCTAACTCTGCATGTGCTATTTTGGGCTCTGGATTGTACTGTGCAACTAATTTCTAGGCAACATTCACTCTAGTCCCCTCTGTTAAGTTTGTCCTTGATGTACTCCTAAGCCACAGTTGACACGTGGAAGTTGTTGACCAGTGAATGAATCTGTTCTGAAATGAATAGCCAAGTGCTATTGATTTCTAACCAGGTGTTTGTACTAGACTATTGTTTTCTCCCCATAATATGAAATGAGGATGAAAAAAGACTGTAGAAAAACACTAAGAGAGAAGGGAGTGTACTGTAGTTCTTCCAGTTATGCCTTTTTTCTTTTTCTCTTCTAAGTGAGAAGCATTAAGTTTTTATTTTTACTATTCAAAAAGAAAAGATGGAAGCACTGAAAACATGATTTCTATCTTTCTGCTGTCCAGTAAAGCTGGAAGCAAAGCATTGCTTCAAAAGCAATTGCTGTGGCTGCTGAGTTTGGTTGCAAAACTCACCCAGGGTAAAATCCAAGTTACCAGAATAGACGCTACCTGGCTCTTGTGGTCTAAAAGAGCCATTTTCAGAGATGCAGAGGTTCAGTCTGCACAGGAGAAGAGATGCACCTCACATAAGAGACTTGAGCGCTTCCAAGTTGGAGTTGTGATTGCTTAAAGTGGCAGGACTTGGCCAAATATTTTTACGTTACAGCATCTTGATGGAAATAAGAGCTCAGAGAAACTGCAGCAAAAATTTCAATCCTGCTTGCATAGGAGGAGCATGGCTTCCTAATGAAATCTTCCTTGGTATTTACTTTGGAGCCCCTTAAGAGGATAAAAGTGAACTGACCGGGGGGGGGGGGGGGGGGGGGGGGTGCGGCGGGAGGGGAAGAAAAAAACGTTTTTAGTGGGTGAGGGATAATAATTCATTACCCAGACTGGGAGAGAGCCAATTACCTACTCACAAGTTCTTAGTGAGCTCATCTGTTCTCATTCAGATGCTCATATTTTTTCAGATTCCTCATCAGTGAATGAATTGCAGTTTAGAAACATATAATTGCTCTCACCTTGTGAGGTACCTGATTGTTTTTCATGGCCAGTTTATGACTGCAGATCAGGGAAAATACCAGATTGGCACATAGATAAAGCCTGGGAACAGAACAGTTCTTAGTAGTCTTACTTAAGATACATTGCAAAGTGAGGGAATACATGTTCATCCTTGACTGAAAGGAGAAGGAAATTTGGCAGGCTTCTGGAGGCTTTTCCTGTACCTCAGAAATATTGGGAATGATCCATTTGGCTGGTGCTGTCTTTGGAAAGAGCAGGTTTGGGAAGTTTCTCAAGCCACCGCTAAATAAATCAGTTCATGGATGTCCTTCCTCTTCTCAAGCTGGCTGGAGTGACTGGGAGCAATGCCACCTCCCACAGGTTACCAGAGAAACAGTACGTATACTTCTTTACGCTGCCATCTTAGATGGGCTACTGTGAGTTAATAATTTGACTATACTGGGTGACTTTCTCCTAAAGTGAGTGACAAGGGTTTATGTAATCTTTCCACTGCTGTGTTGCAGAGGTATCAACCTCCTGCTACATGGTGTCAATATTTTCAGTCACCTCAGATATTTTCAAATCAGTTTAAGTCCTCCTTTAATTTTTTTCTCTTTTAATTCTTGAATTAAATAGTGCTATTGCCCACCTCCATTTTGTGTTTCTAATTGTGTGCAATTTTGACTCCTTGTTTTGTTTTGGTCGGGTCTAACCTAAAAATCTCAAGAAGAAAAGAGATTAGTTTGTATTCTGAACCTGTAAGTTTTCTAGCTTTTCTTCACAATACAAGCAGGCGAAGGCTTTTGCAGTCACAGGATTCCAGGACTGGAGGTGCTAACGACAACCCTAAATCCCATTAAAGTCAAGATAGAAGTGGAAGAACTGATGACACTGCATTTCTCTAAGACCCTCAGAATGTTAAGGCTAACAAAAAAAAAAGTCCTTCTCCTTACCAACAGCCATGTTCCTGTTCCTTGTTGTCTGATAAATCCCTGTCCTGTACAACCTGCAAGCAAAAATGGGGTCAGCAAGCTCTGTTATTTCTACTGTAAATCCAAGTCCCTCCCTTCAGCATTCAAACCACTAGCTTTTTAAGCCTTTAGCAGATACTAACAGCAGCAAAAACAAATTAGGTGTTTTCTTCAAAACCTCCTGGGAGGTTTGCTCTCGTAGGCTCCTGTTTATGAATTTTGGTGACTCTGCTTTTTGGAACAAAGGAGGAGAGGGCTTAGACCAGCAAATTCTTACTTTTTTCTGATCTCTACTGAAATGCTAACTTCAGACTTAAAAGCAACATCCTTGCTGCTGTAGCAAAAGCAGAACAGTGTCTTGGTCTAGCTGGAAAGCCCAAAAGCGGAGCCCTCGGCGTCGCTGCCCTTGCATGGAGAGGCAGTGCAGGCTGGGACTGATGGAGGCCTGGGCCTGGGATGGGGTTGTTGTCCAGCTGTCCTCCTTTCCCCTGCCTCATGGATATCTTAAACTATTTACTGAGCAATGTACAGCTTACAGCATGGTGTTTTCAGAAAAATGGTGGTCGGTTTACCTGAAAGCACCAGGCTGGGCATTGCAGGACGTCCAGGAGTACTGACATAACCAGTGGTCGAAAACAGTGTCTCGGTCTCTACTAGATTCTCAGTGCCTTGGCTAGGATGCTAGTTAGAAGAGGGTTTATGTTGTTCAGCTCTTGTTCAAACCTTCCCTCTTTCAGGCAGAGAGAAGAGTAAGTTTTCTGGGGTCGTGTTTCATGGACCTGGGCCTTACCTCCTTCTGCCTCAGTTCTCCATAAGGATAACAAAGATTAAAAACATGAACTAGAAAGTGCTCAGATACTATAGCAATGGGTTCTGTCCCTGAAACTTGTATCTTTCCTCCTTTCCTGACAAGTCAGCCTTGTTGCTGAATGAGCTGGCTTTTCCTCTAGCAGGGCTCGTGACTAAGTTGATGTCCATCTTCAGCTTTAGCTGGAAGCGGTCTGTGCTATCCTGTTTGTCTGGACCACTGCATGCAAGCAAAATAATTTCAGTCGTAAGAGGATTCATGGACTAGCAAAGGAGTAAAGAATTAAATCACTGCTGTAACTGAGAGCAACAGCACTAGCTGAGCCCTGGATACGTGCTAGATTGCCGATCCCTACCGCTTTTCTAGAGTGAACGTTGCCTGTTGCTGGCTTCACTTTTGCCATGGAGTGTCACAATAGTCACACGTTGCTTTCTAGGTTCTTTGACCTTCTGAACAGGTAAACGAGAGGGGGAAGGACTGTTTTTAATATCCACCATATCTGAAAAAACTAACAGCATTTAATGGTGCCTCATCTCCCAGCTATCCTTTCTCCTGGGCTGATTCCTAGCCTAGTGTGGAAATTAAAATAAGATGAAGTGAGGGATGGACTGGGATTTTTTTCTGCCTTTAAAATGATTGCATTAGAAACATTCATTCATGGGGACAGTTTAAGGCAGGATGAATCTTTGTGATCATCCTCTCCGATTAAGCATAAGCTATTTCTTCAGTTAAATGGGATTTTGTTTTGTGCAAACCTCATATAAATATAGGGTTTTCCAGTGAATATAGAAGCCAAATAAAAGGGTTTCTGGATAGAAACATCCTGATCCCTTCTTCCCCTGCCTGTTTCTCAGTGGGTCAGCTTAATTTTTGGATACCTGCAAGTTGTGGTGTTTTCTTCTGGGTGATCACAGTCGTCTCTGATCTTGAGCTCAAGGAGTCTTTGGCAGAGATGGGTGACCCCCTAAAAGGTAGAGCTAGTAAGAAAGTAGGACCTTCTGCTCCTTGTTTGTTAAAGTCAGGGGAAAGAGACGAAGAATGTAGGGATCCTACACAACAGTGTGAGGAACAGGACTCCAAACTGCACAATAAATTTTAAGTCCCTTCTCCCATCAATCCTGTCTTTGTATATGCCTTTCATTAAACAGTACTAAGCTGAATTTCTTTAATGAGGCTAGCAAAGAAGATAAAATCTCATTTTGTGGGAGGGGCAAGAAGCTAAGTTTCCTGTGACTGCAGGCATGCAGAAAGATCTGGCCCCCTCGAGTACTGTGGCTTGTTGGCTCTTTGAAGAGTCCTGTGGTGCTGTGGCACATACAAGTAGGCACTCATGCTGATCTTCCTGTTCAGATGTGTTGCTGAGTTGCTCACAGGAGGATTCACAGTCCTGCATCCCACCATGCTGGGCTGTGGGAGAATGCTGTGCTGTTGCAAATTAGGAAATGGAAACGTTTTATTAAGAAAGCTTCCTTAAAGAGGAGGAAGAGGCCATCCAGGACAAATATGGGAAGCGGAACATGCTTGTTGCTGATGCTTGCGGTCAGCAATAGACACCAGGATCACCCTTTTTGTCTCGGAAGTGTGTCAGAATTTATGCATCAGTACCGGGGGTCGATCAGTGGATCACATTTAAACTCTTGATTGGGGGGAAAAAAGAGGTCCTGTATGAGGCATACTTCCTCTTGGTATTGGCAGCCCACACTCAACCAGGGATTGCCCTTATATTAGGTCTTTACCAATGTCTCTGGAGAGCATGTGAGGCTGCTGAAACCAAGTCTTGCTGCTCAAGCGCTCGAGCCTGGCCTCCTGTTGGTACTGTTCATGCTTTCCACACCCTTCCTTGCTTCTGCACCGCTTTGTGGGTGAGCTGTATGAGCCAAGGATACAGATCTGCTCCCTTCCTCAGAAAAGAGGGTGCTTTGGCATGGCCTTATCTGAGCAGATAAGTCACAAGCCCACAAGGGAGGACTCTTCTTCGGTGCTATTTGGGATGGGTTTCACCTCTTTCTGAGACCCTAGCAAGGGGCAGGGGCCACTGTATCTTCATCTGTACCCAAGCTGGAGGCAGAGGTGGGTGATCAGCCCCATTCAGTCTTTGGAGCTGGGGAGCTTGCAGTGCATTGGAGAATTCCCTTCTGATTAGCCAAACAGGGAAATCCATTTAGAGAAACCTTGAAGGTAACACGTGCAAGCTGGAGGGGTATCAGGCCACTTGTGTTGTAACCCTGGTTCTTGGGAGATTCGTTTGGAGTTGGGATTACCCCATGCCAGAATTTTGCCTGGTCTCTTGAAGTCAAATGAGTCACAGTTGCCTCAGCCATGCAGAGTACTTATCTGTGCTGGAACTGACACGCTCCCATGTCTATTAAGGCTGAAGAAGAGTTAGTAAAGGCTCAGAAGGTGTTCGAAGAGATGAACGTTGATCTGCAGGAGGAGCTGCCTTCACTATGGAATAGGTAAGTGCCAGAGATATGCTCAGAGGCTGGTTTGAATGAGGCAAAGACCCAAGTTCTTGTATCACTGGACTTTTCCTTTCTTTGGGTTGGGTTTGTGCTCTTGTTTTCTGGATTATCTCAGAGCCTATCTTAGGGTTCACCTTAGTCAGGTTGATCCAGGGCTTTCTGATTTTGTAACTCATAGTTTTACCACAAGCAGAAACTGTGTTTCTCTGCCTGGCCTGATTACTCCCTTTGCCCCTCACTCTTCCCAGAAATTCTGCTAACTCTGCTGGGTGTTGGCCCAGCTTCTACTGTAGACAGCAGATCAGAGAGCAGACTGGATCTCTAAGATCTCGGATGTGGAGCTGGCTAGCTGGAAGGAACATCCGCAGTGTTGAGTGCATGTCGGGGCTTACTGATGAAGGGAAGGTGGGATGTGTTTGAGAGGTTTATACAACGACGAGGGCTGGAGAGAGCCAGGAGGTGATGCCTTGCTCACTATGCCTCAGCTTGCAAGCTTGAGAGCGTCCAGTGAAACAGCAGGTTTAAAACAGCAGAGAGGGTCAGAGGACAGGTTACTCTGCTTTGGATGCCGCTTCCAGGTTGGGCAGTTGGGAGAGTAAAGCCAACCGAAGGATCCCAGTGTGGCTGTTTTTCCTTGTCCCTGAACGTGCCCCTGGTTGTGTGACACAGGACCTGGTGAGGGACTAGATGGAGGATCGGTGATCTGCCTGTTGTGCTCTATGTAAAACAGCACAGCTTTGGTACAGGGAAATGGTCTGAGAGCAGGGGAAGACTTGACAAATCAGGGATTTGACATGTCAGTGATGAAGGGGTGGGTGGAGAGAGAAAACAGACTGACTGGTGGATTAGTGGATGAATTGGAGGGCAACAGGAGCTGACGTACAGGGAGGGTATAGTGGAAGGCAGGCAGAATCCTCCTAGAAGTGCCCCAGTTTGTTATTTTAAAATGCAGTGACTGGATCTGGATTGATAATGCTGGTCTATAAGGCATGGAAAGAGCGGTCAGCCAGAAGGCCTCGAAAGCCAAGCACTGATTTCTGTCCTCACTCCTTTTTTTTTCCCAGCCTGAGTCATGACTTTTTGCATGCAAGAGGCCAGTGTGGCCAGGCCTGGCTGAGGATGCTACTGCAGGAGTTTGGAGGGATGCGGGTGTCTGGGTGATCACATGTGCAGAATGGTGATGCTCCTGGCCTTGGAGAGAGCTTCTCTCCTGCCAGGGCTCCTCAAGCTGGGTAGTGCGCTCTCTCTCTTGATAGCTGGCAGACTGGCTAGAGGAAGAAAGCAGGCAGGCAGGCAAGCTGCTGCTGGGTTTTTAAGGATGCCACAGGTGGTTCACAGGTTTCACTTATCTAGCCAACCGTTTTGTTTTCCAGTTGCTTTCTGAGCCCATCCTATGCTCTCTCGTTCTTCTGCCCTTGAAGCAAACAATGCTTCTGTGCTTTTCCCTGGTGCTGAGGAGTGAATTAATTTCTGCCCTCCTGCCCCTCGCCTCCACCCAAATTTCCCCTGGCTCTCCCCACATCCTATCTGCAGCGCAGCCTTCATCCTTCTCCTTTCCATCACCCCACCGCTGTCTGTATTTTTTTTTTTGTTTGCACCTTCCTATTCCTTTTGCCAGCACAAATTCAGATTCTGCCATACCTGCCCTCACCTTGGACCTGTTTGCCCCATACTCGGCCTTTGCTGCATCATCCCCTCCACCCTTCTCTGCCACCCTTCCATTCCTGCATGTACCAGACCTGACAGAATTGAGTTCAAATGGGAGTGGTGGGTGGGAGGTAACAGAAGAGGCAGAATTGAAAGCTCTTGGGAGAGCGTTGTGTTCATTAAATTCTTTTTGCTTGTTTTTCATTTGGCAGTCGTGTTGGTTTCTACGTCAACACATTCCAGAGTATAGCGGGCCTAGAAGAGAACTTCCATAAAGAAATGAGCAAGGTACAGCAATCACCTATCCTGCTAGTCCTCACTGTTAATAAAAACTGATCACCAAACTAACCAATACGGCTAGAGAAAACAGTATTCGCTCCACGTCAGAGCGAAACGTTAACCTTCGTTCTTTCTGAGCCATGTGGGAGCAGAGCTGTCTGAGATGGTAGTGTAAAGGAACAGAGCACAGGGAAGAGACCAGAGGGCCGTGCTGCAGTGGGGAGTTTGTGTCACTTGGCAGGACTCATTTGGATACAAGGCCTTGTAGGTTCACAGAGGGAGAAGTCCGTTCAGGCCTGTCTTGATGTCTGACATCTATTTGCTAGCTTTGTCTGTCAGTAGGTTGCTATGAGCCCTTATCTAGCTCTGGGGGACAAAAACAGCAGGGCACAGATATGCCAGTCTGTGACTGATTGATTGAGATAGGCATTGCTTTGACCCTCATGAAGGCACTTGCCAGCAGTAACTTGCTACTTCAGGTTCTTTCCTACCCTGTGACCTGAAACAAAGTTTTAAGTGCTTAATATGGCCTTTACATGGGCTACCAGTTGGTTACAGGTTGGGAATCGCAGCAGTAAGCAGTGTTTTAATCTGGTAGCAGGCTGGATTCTAGTGCTGAATGCCAGCACCCATCAGAGATCTCGGCACTAGTCTATGGGAAGCCCCGCCATTATGGCTTTAATTTACAAGTGTATTCTTGTCATTTTGCTTACAAGTCGGAGAAGCGTGAGTCTCTTAGGTCTGTACACTGCCCCTAAGAATCACATACCCCTGTGTATGTTGCGCTAATCTTGATGGGCAACTGGGAACTGAGCTGGAAAACTCCTGTATTGCCCGTGCCCCCAGCAACAAGACAGCTGTTAAGCAACGGGCAACAGTATAGTCATCTAGTTCCTAACAGTCAGGGTCTTGCTACCTTGGTATAATGTATCCATTTTGAACCCTGCTGTTGTTTCATAGGGACCTTTCCAATTAATAGCTGTTCTGTTCCACTGAGGGACAAACTGATTGTTAAGGGCAAGGAGGATTATTGTAATTACCGGTTTACTGCTGCTACCTTTCCTGTTTTTTGGTGAATATAAGTTATCTGTTAGACAGGAATTCTCCACTTATGTGTCTTGGATTTTTATTTCTCTGGGATTTTTGTATAAGAGCAGGGTTTTTGTTTTGTTCCATAAGAACCATGTTTCTTATTGCTGCTGTAGCATCCAGTTAAGTGCTGGTATTGCCAGCAGGATGCCTCTGACATTGACTGTATTGGATCCCTCCTCCTACCAATGATAAATCTGGCATCTCATGTTGTTGGTGATGTGGCTGTTTCTGACTAGGAGCATCTGGATTAAACGTTCCAACCTTTGGTGCCAGGGAGAGTTTAACCCCTAATCTGGCATTTCTGCAAGCAGATCCAGGTTCTGCCCATAGCTAGATAGCCCAGGTAACCCAAGTCAAGGCTTGCTGATGGCTGAAATTACAGCTGCCTTTAGTTCCGGAGTCCAAATGGCCATATCCCAGTTTTACAAGCAGGTCTGAGGAGCAGCTTTGACTACCAATCAAGAGTCAAGCTTCAGTTCCAGCATGTAGGCTGTCATGAAAATGCTCTGCCTGCTTTGCAATGGTACCTGGTGGGGGATGGTTGATAGAGATCCAGAGAAGATGGTTCATAAGTGAGACAGAGCATTCTGAGGAGGTGCCAGCAACCCTTCAACTATTTGAGTGCGGTAGCATTTTTCCACCAATGGAAGAATAGAAAGGGATGGGGCTTGTCCTCTCTTGGGATAGCTGAGTATGTGCACATGTTTGAATGCAAGCCTGTGTTGGGCCAGCATGTGCTAGCCAGCCCAGGCTTGTTTTTTGGCACTCGGGGCTCTTTTCTCATTCTTTTTCTCTCTTGTTTTTGCATTTTGCAGTTGAACCAAAACCTCCATGATGTCCTGCTGGGTCTAGACAAACAGTACTCAGGCAATGCCTTTCCTGTTAAAGCACAGCCCAGGTCAGTAACTGTGGGAGCAGTGTCTTTCCTTGTCGGGGAGGAGGGGCAGGCTGAGGCTGTGGTACAGGGAGGTCTCTCCTAGGGGTATTGAAACCACTGCGTTGTCATTTAGGAAGCAATTTGTTTGCCTGGACGTAGTCAGCCAGTGCCTGCCTGATACTCCCTATGGCATGTCCAAGGTTGCATCTGGGGCTGGCAGATAAAACACGAGACAACTTCCCTTTCTCTAGTAGCAGCCGGAGGCCTAAACTTTCACTACATACCGGTGCTTAGGCAACTAACTCGTGCCCCTGCTTTTTTTTTTTAAAGATGAATTCTATACACCAACACTGTAATACTGAGCTGCCCTTCTTTCGTGGTCCAGTTGCCCTGCGCTCTCACCCCATTCTTTCCTCCAGAGCTTCCCCCACATACCTGCAATTTGTGAACTCTAAAGAGTCGAGATACTGTTTGTTTCCCCAGCCTCCTCTTTGGCCTTCTAAACTTGGAGCCTCCTGTTTGCCAAAGTCTTATGCCTGCTGTGTGTTGAAATGGGATGCGTTGTCTCCGTGTGTGTTGTGCAGCCTCGCTAATATGAGGCCTTCTAATCTCAGAGTGCCTCCCATCTGCATGCGTGCAAGGAATGAGTGTCCTCCAGGCCGTTAGTTTTCTTTCCTTTATTGGGTCTCATCCTTTTTAGTTAACTGCAAATCTGCACATTCTCTTGCTCTGAGAGGGGAGGGAGAGGTCAGGCACTGGATGAGGCGATGTCTGGCTCGCATCCAAATGCGTGAGTGATGAAACAATGCAGGGCTCTGGCTTCCAGCTGCCGCTAATCCCACATGCTGGGTGAGCAGGAACGCAACCCGTGTTCTCAATTGGTATATTGATGGAGGGGGGAGGTGAAGTCAGCATGAAGGAAGGGCAAGCTGGGTTTCAGTGCATTGATTTGGAAAGGCTAGATCAGCTGTTGAGACCTCTGTGCTCCCTTATCTCACCTCCCTGTTTAACCCCCTGTTGCAGTCATGTATAGATGACTTGTGTGTCTTATTCCAGTGTGATGTTGGCTACCTTTAGAAGAGGATACTGAAGTGAAATTTGGCCCCTGAATTTTAGATTGCTAACATCAGATTTCCAAGATGCTAGTAGAAATACTTCTTGTGGAAAATAATACCCTCTTCCAAAATTAGCACAAGGTGCCTGTTGGTCATCACAGCCCAAAGACTGAAGACCTTTTAGGGGGCCGTGGTACACAGCCTTTTACTGCCATGTGCCACGTTGTCTCTGATAGCAGCATCCACCAGAAAAGGATGAGGTAATGCGAAGGATGAAGACTGTAGCCATTGCTTTGTCCAGCTGCTTCTTCTTCCTTCCTTTCTCGAGGAAGTGATTGCAGACTGTAGTGACAGCTTGGCCCAGACATGTTTGTTATTGTTATGGCATGAAGTTTGTGGCTTGAAAGAGCTTCCAAGTAAATAAATTACCTGTTGTCATGATTCCTGCCCACACAAACTGCTAGCTTCACCTGGAGATATATAGTGGGTGTTTCAGGTGCAGCTCTGCTCTCTTTGGCTGCCTGGGAGGCCACATGGCCATAAAAACACAAATGAGCACACAGAGAGGAGCCTGTGCAGGTAGCAATTCAGCTGCTGCTACTTCATCACTTCCTCCCCTGCTCAGGCCTCAGCTGAGATGCCAGACCTGCCCTAAAGCAGCTCTGTTCCCCTGAGCACAGTGGTGCAGAGTGTTGTAAGAGAATGTATCAAACATTTACTAGGACAGTCAATGTTTTAGAGTGACCAGGAAATGGAGTGAGGCACTTCTGTCATCCACTGCATCTGGCCCCGCATTGTGGTGATGTTTGAAGGCTGTTTATAGAGCTGGAGCAGCACCAGGCAGAGGAAATACCCATCAGTGTTCTGATTGCCCATTGTGGCATGCAGTAAGAGCAGATGCTTCCCTAATTCTCCTCTACTGGGAAGAGGATTGGGGATGGATGCAATAGCAAGAAATGAATTGGGAAGTGTGAGAAGAGAGCCATTTATCCTTTTACGTGACCACAGCATCTGTGTGAGCACCTACAGAAACCTTAATGTGGCTGATGAAATCAGCCTGGCTACATAGCACAGCAGCACAAACTAGCTGATGTGTTTCTAGAGACCTCAGACATACATATGAGATATGTTTTTGAAAGTCTTTGAGCATTCAGGGCTGTCAGATGTCTGGAAGACCTGGAAGATCTGTAATATTATCATAATATGATCAGACAAAACTGGAAGAAGACATATTAGGAAAACTCTGGGTTTGGTTCCGTGTTTGAGCAGGGGGGTTGGACTAGATGATCTCCAAAGGTCCCTTCCAGCCTCAACCATTCTGTGATTCTGTGGTTTAGGACTGTGTGCACAGACAGCATAAATGAAGGGGACTTGTTCCCTATATGCTAGTTATATAGAGGGGAGAGTGGGGAACTGATTATCTGAGGAAAAACGACATTTACAGTTCCCTGCTGGTCTACACAGCTACCTTTTTCTGCTTGTCCATATGCATTCTGGTCCCATACTCCAAAGAGCAGGGAAAGCTCTTTAGTTTGCTCATATATATGCAAATCTTTGACAGGCACAAAGAACCTTCTCCCACCCTTTCTCCAAACCAGGTCAAAGCTGTCTAGGAACTGCAAGGAAATGTGTGTGTGTGCGTGTGCATGCGTGCACATGTGTATGTGAAAGAGGCGAGCTTGTCATCTTGATAACAGGGAGTTTCATGGCACCAAGTGAATGGGTGCTTGGAAACTTAACCTTTCCTCCCTGGTTTGACTGCGTCATCCTGTAACGGAAATGATTTGCGTGCCATCTTCAACAGAAAGAAAACTAAACTGTTCGCCAGGCTGAGGAAAAAGATGAGCAGGTACCGGTACGGAGAGCAGCATTTCGATACGTGTTTGGTTTAGTTTCTAAAAATGGAGGGGCTGTTGCTATATTCTAACAGCCTGGCACGTGTTAACTCTGTGATGGGAGAGGGGTCTGTTGCATGATACGATGTGTTCATGGCCTGCTGGGTTCTGCTGAGATCTCTCTGTATCTGGATAATCCCATTAACTGCTTGTCTGCCTGGTTTGAATCCTTGCTCCTTTTCCTATCCAAGAAGGCAGTGTGAAAGCACGGGCATTGCGTCTGTTCAGCTGTTTTTGTGTGACTAAAAGTGTGGTACTGTTTTTTCCATGGGGAATAAGGACGGCTTTGGTTATTAACAAGATTTTGTTCCCCCTAGTGGGGCCTGCCCATTTGAACAAGTCTGAAATGCTGCATTCTCATTCCCTGCCTGGCCAGGGAGGACCAGTGGGCAGGTCTTCCTTACTGAAAAGGTCTTGTCCTAGCTATCTGTTGCACTGGGGGGATTATGAGCTGGGAGAAGGACGCTTGCAGCTTTGCTCCTTGCTTGCTCCATTCTTGGGGCTCCACGCAGTCTTGCTCCATCCATTTAAAAACTACCTGGAGCCAAAAAAAAGGGGGGAAACTTTACCTTTCAGGAAAACGATGGCATTGAATTACTGGATAGTGCTAATGTCTAGAGTTACAATAGTCAAGGCTAAGGATTCCGACAAGGACGTGTTCTGGAGCAAAGTGGGAACTGCTGCATAACGGTATAGAAGCTTCCTCTGTCTCTTGGTTTCCTTCATCTTGGTGTTCATATTCCTTCCATGAGGTCCTCATAGGAAGAAAAAAAGTCATTATGATTCTCAAGATGATGTACTGCCTAGCAGTGAAAACAAGCGCTGGTGACCTGGGATCCTTGCTTTCTGATGATCCCAGGTTCCCATTGACTGGAGCAAGTCACACAACTCTTCTTTTGTCTCTGCTGTGCCCCCTTTGTAAAATGGGGGGTTGGAGGGAGGAGAATGATAATTTCGCAGGGAAGCTGATAGGCAAGACTTGATTATCTCCTGAAATGGAAGGTGGTGAATGAATGCCATGTGTTGTTACCAGTCTGAAGCTTCCTGCTGTAGGAAAAGGACTATTCACACGAATACCTCTCTGGATGGCTGTCTCTAAATTTGGTCTCACCAGACCAGGCTTGGAGGTGTAGCATTTCCAGTCATTGCTGCTACCTCAAGCAGAGGCTACAGCAGAGGGAGAGCTAGTAAATCTCATCTGGATGAGCCCTAACCACAACTTCCTCTCACTTTGCCCTGAGAAAGTCCAACTGGCCCAGCAGTTAGGTATCTCACCTGGCCTGTGCTGGGA